ACCCGAACGCGCCTTGCTACCGCCGCCCGTGTCTCGCGTGTCCTTGTCACCTTCGTGATTGCCGCGCATGTTGCGCACTTCCAGTGTCCATGCTCGCCTACGTGCGCCCAATGCCCGCGCATCACCACCCGATGCGCCCCTCTCGCCTATTAGCCTATTGGCCATGCCCGACCAATCTTCACATTTTCCGGGCTCGATTACCACTTCCGTATCATTCCCGCCCCGCGCGCTGGGCTGCCTGTGCGCGGCCTGCGCGCGGGCTGTGCGGGCCTGGCGAGCTTCTTAGGGCCAAATGACTTGGAAAATATTTCTAAGTGTCCGGTTTGACCCCGGCTTGACTTGAACAAAATAATAATAATATTAATAATAATTATAGTAATAATAATAATAATCTCCAATAATTCATAATCAAACGGGGCGTTATAGTCTACCCACCTTACAAAGAATTCCGTCCCCGGAATTCGGAACAAAACAACTAGAAAGCACTAAAAATAATTATACAAAGGGGAACTCAAAACATGAAGTTCGGATAACGCCTCCTAATACTGTCTTCCCTCTCCCATGTCGCCTCGGTCTCATCGTGTCGGCTCCACAGCACCTTCACCAAGCTCATTGCCCGGTTCCTCAGTTGATGGACCTTCCGGTCCAGGATAGCTACCGGCACCTCCTCATAGGTAAGGTCTCGCTCGACCTGCAGCTCGCCGAAGTCCACCACATGATCAGGATCATGCACATACCTCCGAAGCATCGAGACATGGAACACGTCGTGCACACCTGACAAGTCTGGTGGTAAAGCCAGCCGATACGCTAAGTTTCCGACTCGGTCGAGGATCTCGAACGGCCCAATATAGCGAAGTTTAAGCTTCCCTTTCTTCCCGAAGCGAATCACACCTCGCATGGGTGAAACCTTCAGAAAGACATGATCTCCCACAGCATAAACATGCTTCTGCCTCTCCCGGTCGGCATAGACCTTCTGCCTCTCCTGGGCAGACCTGATGGTCTTCCGGATCTCCTCAACGGTCGCTGCAGTACTCTGAACGAAATCCGGACCTGTAATCCTCCTCTCTCCGACCTCATCCCAATACAAAGGGGTCCAGACCTTACGTCCGTACAAAGCCTCGTACGGGACCATCTTGATCGAAGAGTGATAGATGTTGTTGTAGGTCAGCTCGACTAGCGGAAGGGCATACTCCCAAGTCAGGCTTCGGTCCAAGACCACAACCCTCAAAATATCCTCCAAGTATTGGATCACACGCTCCGACTGACCATCTGTCTAGGGGTGAAAGGCTGTACTGAACTCCAACCTCGTCCCCATGGCTCGGTGCAACGTCCTCCAGAACTGGGATGTGAACTTGGCATCTCGACCCGAAACAATCTCCACGGGCACTCCATGAAGTTTAACAATGTCCTTGACGAACAATTCAGCGTAATCACTCGCATTCATGGTCGTCCGCACTGGCAGAAAATGGGCAGACTTCGTAAGACGATCCACTATCACCCAAATCGAATCATACCCACCCCTCGACTTCGGCAGTCCCACTAAGAAATCCATGGTGATGCACTCCCACTTCCACAGGGGAACCTCAAGGGGCTGCAGCAACCCTCTCGGTTTCTGGCGCTCAGCCTTCACTTGCTGACACACCAGGCACCCATCCACGAACTTTGCTACCTGCCTCTTCATGGCTCGCCACCAGAAAGACTTCCTCAGGTCCTGATACATCTTCGTGCTACCAGGATGGATGGTGTACGGGGCACTATGGGCCTCTCTCAAAATCTCCCTTCGCAGCTCCCACACCTTCGGGACACAAAGTCTACCCTCAAAGACCAAGGCCCCATCAGATGCGACTGCGAATCCACCAATTCTACCGGCCTCCGACAACTCTCTCATCCGGCATAGAAAACAGTAATTCGGTTGCTCATCGACTATCCTCTTTCGAAGAGTCGGTCCCACAACCAAAGAGGCAAACATGCCCCCGGCTGTCGAAGTTGACTCCACTACCTCCAACTGTAATCGCTCGAACTCCCGAAGAAGAACATCCTGCTTGGTGAACAAGCAAGACAGCTGGCCATAACTCCTCCGGCTAAGGGCATCGGCTATCACGTTAGCTTTCCTAGGGTGATAGCTAATGGTGCAGTCGTAGTCCTTGACCAGCTCCAACCATCTACGCTGCCTCATGTTCAGCTCCTTCTGAGTGAAAATGTACTTTAGGCTCTTGTGGTCGGTAAAGATCTCACACTTGCCTCCATAGAGGTAGTGCCGCCAAATCTTCAAGGCGTGGACAACTGCAGCTAACTCGATATCATGAGTGGGGTAGTTCTGCTCGTGAGGCTTCAGCTGCCTTGAAGCATAGGCTACGACTTTCCCCTGCTGCATAAGGACACATCCCAAACCCATCTTCGAAGCATCACTATAGATGGTGAACTCCAAAGTAGGGTCGGGTATAGATAGGACAGGCGTGGTAGTGAGTCTCCTCTTCAACTCCTGGAAACTCTCCTCGCACTGAGGACTCCAATCGAACCTCACGGCCTTCTTCGTAAGGTTGGTCAGTGGCTGGGCTATCTTCGAGAAGCCCTCGATAAACCTCTTGTAGTATCCTGCTAACCCCAGGAAACTACGAACATCTGCAGCACTTCTTGGCGTATCCCACTTGCTCACAGCCTTAATCTTGCTGGGATCCACCTCAATGCCTCGAGCTGTCACAATGTGGCCAAGGAATGCAACACGGTTCAGCCAGAACTCGCACTTCGAGAACTTAGCATACAACTTCTCGCGGCGAAGAGTCTCTAGCACAATCCTCAAATGTTCCTTGTGCTGATCGATGTCTCGGGAATAGACCAGAATGTCGTCGATGAACACAATGACGAACTGGTCCAGGAAAGGATGAAAGACCCTATTCATCAGGTACATGAAAATGGCTGGGGCATTGCTGAGTCCGAACGGCAAGACTACGAACTCATAGTGGCCATAGCGGGTACGGAAAGCAGTCTTAGAAATATCCGACTCCCGGATCTTCAGCTGATGATAGCCAGAACGCAAGTCAATCTTTGAGAAGACGCTGGCTCCTCTCAGCTGGTCGAAAAGGTCCTCAATATGGGGAAGGGGGTACTTGTTCTTGACTGTAAGGGCATTCAACTCCCGATAGTCAATGCCCATGCGCATAGATCCGTCTTTCTTCTTTACGAAAAGGACGGGCGTACCCCACGGTGAGACACTCGGACGAATGAAACCGAGCTTAAGCAACTCCTGGATCTGGGCCTTGAGCTCTTGAAGCTCCTTCGGCGCCATACGATAAGGGGCCTTAGAAACGGGGCCGGCTCCTGGAATGAGGTCAATAGTGAACTCCACCTGGCGGTCTGGCGGTCCTCTGGGTAAGTCATCAGGAAAGACGTCGAGGTACTCACAAACGATAGATACTCGCTCGGGCACCTGCTCATCAATGACGTCGGATACCATGGAAACAAGATAGCCTTGACAGCTACCCTTGGAAAGGCTCTTCCTAGCTTGCATAGAAGAGATGACCCGAGGCACAGTCCTCGAACTTACCTCAAAGAACACAACAGGCTGATCAGAAACAGGATAGAGGGTGACTTTGCGCTCCTGGCACCGGATATCGGCTCGGTAACGGGTGAGCCAGTCCATGCCCAAGATCACGTCAAAGTCTCGCATATCAATTACATAGGCATCGGCCTCTAGAACTTGACCACCAATACAGATAGGGAGATTGCGAACCACAGAATCAGAGATAATAATTTTTCCCGAGGCTAAACTAACCTCGAGAGGGTCACAAGCAAGCACGGTGCCAAAAGATAAATTCTCCAAGCAACGAGAAGAAATAAAAGAATGGGTAGCACCGGTATCACATAAAGCAAAAACAGGCACATGGGATATCGAAAGCATTCCGGACATGGTACCTGTGTTGCGAGCGGCCTCATCATGGGTGATGGTATAGACTCGGGCCCGACCCCCAGCCCTCTGCTGGAACGGTGGGGGCTGCTGATGCTGCTGATGAGGTGGCGGTGGGGGAAGCTGCTGCTGCTGCGGAGGGAACTGCTGCTGCCTCTTGGGCTCTGGACAGACACTGGCATAATGGCCCGGACGGTTGCAATTGTAACAAGCTCGCTGGTCTGCTAGGCACTCTCCGGCGTGGAACCTGCCACACTTAGGGCACCTCGGCAGTTGACCCTGGGTGGGTCGGCCGTCGCGTCTGCCAAAATTTCCCTTCTTGCCCTTCTTCTTGTTCTGATAATCAGATTTCCTCTTGCCCGAACTAGAGCCGGGTTGCACAGACGAGAGGGGCTGAGCATGCTGGACAATGGCCTGGGATGGCTGGGAGGCATGATAGAAAGAAGGAAATGGAGCCAATGGAATGAGACAGCTCTCCACCTCCTGAGCTCGACTCACGGTGTCAGCATAGGACATCAGTCCGTGACTCCCCACCAGTTCACGGATCCTCTGGTTGAGCCCCTTGAGAAACTTGCGGGCCTTCTTGGCATCGGTGTTCACTGCGTCGCCCGCAAAAAGGCACATGCGAGTGAAGGTGCGGATATACTCATCCACCGTGGAGCTGCCCTGCTACAAGTGGTAAAACTCATGCTCCATTCTGTCCCAAAAGCTCTGGGGAAGGAACTTGCTGTGCACCATTATCTTCATTTTCTCCCAAGAGAGTGCAAGGAGCTCCGCCTCTGGCCTCTGAGCCCAGTGGTCAATCCACCAGTCGGAAGCGTCCTCCTTCATCTGGTAAGCTGCAAGGGATACCCGCTCACGGTCAGGGAGGGGAAGTACAATAAAGATCTTGTCAAGTTCTTTGATCCACTCTAGCACCGCTGTGGGGTTCTCAGTCCCTGCAAAGGTTGGTGCATTCATCCTTTGGAACTGAATGATAAGCTGAGTAAGGTCCATGGCCGGAGCGGCCTGGTGCTGACGAAGAGGAGAAGGAGATGGGGATGCCTGACGGTTACGATTGCGAGTATTCATACTTCTACATTGAATAAGTCGAACGAGGTTAAGCACAAGAACAAACAGAACAATCAATATATACTGAAGTCTAGAGTTCTCCATAAACACTAGAGTTCGATAAAATCAAGGTGGATAGATCCTAAGCCCCAAATCACAAGTTCATCACGAGTAGTTTCATTACTACGTGCGTATCATTTACATATCAAGTATTTTCATTTATACTTAAACAAAACATACCTTAAGCAGCGCGGAGTGACGTAGACGAGTGGTCATAACACAAGGTCTAAACTAATACTCACATATTAACCAGTCTACAGAAACGCAGACTGGCTCTGATACCAAACTGTAACACCCCACTTTGATTTTAAAGAAATTCCGGACTTTCTAAATATCAGTGTAAAAATTTCAAAATCATTTTCGAAAATTCAATGGGTGTTAAACAACATTTTTCATAACCCAAGTCTTATCTGGGCTCACGGGGATTCATTACCCGGTTTTTCACAAACGGTTTTCATTAACCGAAACACATCACGAGACATAATACTCAACATGCATATATCATCAACCATAATACCCAACAATCCGAGTTCCACAAATTTTCCAAAACAACAAATCATAGGTTTTTGGAAAATATCATAATCAAGTCCCAACATAATGGTTCATAAAACCTTATTCATACGAAAGCGATAAACAAATAAAAACAACCGACCCACTCGTTTCTTCTCGTCACCCAGCTCCTGCTTAACCTGCATCGGTAAAGAGCAGGTGGGGATGAGCACTAGATGAAAAGCGTGCTCACCACTATGCACATAAATAATACATGTTAAGATGGTATGGTCGCAGTATGAATATAAATCAATCATCATCATGTCTCATCTCCTAATCTCAACAATAACTCACTCATGTGCACATCTATCATTAGCTGCGGAAAGGGGATGCATAAACCCTAACGACGGGAGTGCGTGCCACTGTAACGGACACGGCCTTTCATTAGGTCTTAAGGAGACTTGCCTCGCAAGGGCAACCGTACCGTAACTCGACGGGGACAACCGTACCGACGGCCGTAACAGCTCACATCAGTAGGCCACATGGTTCACATTCATACATAGGTCATACCAACCAAACACTTAAACACACGTATGGCATAGATAACTTTATAAGTAAAACCCACCTGGTATACTGAAATATCTGGCAAGTGCTCGAAACTGAAGTAGCTGTCGGAGGCTCGACTCTCTATAAGCTACAAAAATATATAAGCAAATAAATGCTAAGTATTATGCTCAACTGCATATACTAATATGCTCCGTTCTATATGCTTACTTATCTAGATGAAACAGAATGCTCTAAGGGTTTGCTAAAAAAATATACTGTGCCCGGATTTTAAAATAGATATATTCTAACTGGACTGATATGGCTCAGAAAAATACTAAAATTTTCCAGAACGTACTCGGACTAAAAAATTTGAGCCAAACATTTTGAACCGCTCGGTCGAACCGGACCAGTTCGCTTGTTGGACCGACGGCTCGCCGTGAGCTGATCAGTCGTGGGTGGATCGGCTGTCCGGGCTCGACCGCACAGTGCCTGCTGGCGCTGGCGCGCGCACGCTGGCGCTGGTCGTCTGGGCTTGGGTCTGGTGCAGCAGCGTGTGCTGGCTGGCGCACTGGTGCGCTGGCGCTGCTTGATGAGGATCGTGTGTTTCGACTGCCGATAAGCCGCTAACCCGCGCCTTGAATCGCCAATAGTGTTTCTCTAGCCACAACCGCGCCTATTGAAACGAATAAAATTGCAATAATATTCTGGTGAAAAGACTAAAGCAAAGTTGGAAGAACAAAGTTCTAGATTTCTATTAATTTCGCCGATAGTGTTTCTCCTATGCCATTGTGCACGTCGGCACCCTCGCATACAGGCTCGTGTACGTCTCCTAGGCCATGCAAGCCTTGTTTGCGCCCTTTGCTCGGCCTTGTCCATTAGTCTCAGCCCTTGGACCTTCTCTTCTTCGGGGGTCGAAACCCACTTCCGTATCATTCCCGCCCCCTTTAAGAATGTCCTTGTCCTCAAGGACTCATCATCAACCATTAATTGGGGCGTCCTCACCTCGTACACATCATGCATCTCTTTGCTACGGTCTTTTTTGATCACGGCCGAAACCTTCTTCTTAACTTCGACCAAAATTCCTTCGCCCTCGACAATGTACTCATTGGCGTATACATCGTAGATAGGCGGTCCTTCATAATCCTTCGACTCGTACTCGATGGGCCTTACATCCTTAAAATATTTCGAGAATGCAAACGGAAGGATAGGCTCCTTACACCTTTCATCGATCCTGCCTTCTTCCTTGTCGGACTTGCTTAGTACGCGTTCGATTGCTCTACTCAACTCACGTATCTCGGATTGTTGCTGCTCGATCGTCCAAACCTCTTGCACCTCACCTTCGACCTTAGTTTCCTCGACTTCTTCGACGTACATGGGTTCATCTTCGGGGTATACGTTGAAGATAGGTGGGCCATCATAACCCATCGAGTCTTGCTCGATCTCTCCGAAGTAGTCGTCGAACAGAGGGAGATCCTTGTACTCGACCTGCTCGACCGTGCCCGCATGTGCGCTTGCCTTCTTGACGGTGAAGATCTGGCCGCCCACATGCCAAACCCTCTCTATACTCTTGAGGCCAACCTCCTTGGTCCCACCGTCCTTGCTTGCCTTTAACGTGACCCGATGCTCCCCTGAGTTGAACTCCATGACTCTCGTTCGATAGTTGGTGGTCACTTTGCATAATCCCTCGAGCCACTGCACACCTAACACAACGTCGGGTCCAACCAAGGGTAGCGCATAGAGATCGGCTTTGATGGTGACTCCTTGAAATTTGATCGGTACCCCGCAATAAGACTCGGGGCACCTTAGCCGTTCACCATTGGCTACTCGAACCTCAAATGGTTCAACCTTCGTCGTTGGCAACTTCAACTTTTGAGATAGCGTCGCGTTGATGAAGTTGTGTGACGATCCGTTGTCCACTAGCACAACTACATGACGGTCCTTGACACATGCTGGTATCCGCATCGTCCTCGGTCCTCTCGTTCCAGCCATTGCGGGCATTGAGATTTCGGTCTCCTCTTCAGGAACCCCAATCTCGACTTCTTTCTCCCAATCCTCCTCGATCTTGGGCTCTTCATCATCGATGACGTGGATGACAAAAGCCTGCTTGCAGTGATGGCCAGGCGTAAATTTCTCGTCGCACTTGAAACAGAGTCCCTTCTCACGTCGGCGCTTTATTTCCTCAGGCGACAGTCTCTTAACCTCCGGGACTGGTGGTCGAGAACTATCGGGTGGTCAGCTGCTCGGAAACATATTGCTTGCGTCCGGTTGTGCGCGTCGCATCTCGGGGTAGCGTGCATCCGCCCGTCCCCTTCGAGTAGCCACAAGATGATATTCTGAGCGTCGGGCCACCTCCATGGCTTTATGCATCGTGTTTGGCCGCTCCAGTCGGACTTCTGCGGCTAGATCGAACCTCAGCCCACCTATGAAGGCTCCTACTAGTGCATCCTCAGACCAATCTCGCACGCGGCAGGCCAGTCGTTCAAACTCCTTGATGTACTCACGCAAATTGCCTATCTGGCGAGGGCCTCATTGTAGTTATGGTAATCGGACGTACCAAAACGTGTGAGCAATTCTCTCTCAAAGTCAGCCCATGTAATGATCTGTTGCCGCCTACGGTAGATCCTTGAGAGCCATTGCCACCATACATTGGCCTCACCATCCAGGTAGAATGCTGCGTACCTTACTCAGTTTTGGCCTTCGGTTTCATTCAGTTCGAAGTATTGCGCAATACGGTTGAGCCAAGCCTCCGGATCACTACCCGTGAAGGTGGACATTACGAACCTCGACTTGTCGGGCTTTGGTCGTTCTCGGTAGGTGGACGCCTACGACCGTTGGTCGAACTCCTCCTCGTGTTCGTAACCCTCGTGTCGCCGGTCCTCGTCCTATTCTCGCGCGCACCGTTGCTCGCGTCGATCCTCGCGTCGTGGGGATGGTGTGCGTTCGGCGTGCTCGGCGTGCCGGCGTGGTTCGCGCCTTGGGGGATCATCGCGATGATGTGGAGGTTGCTGCTGGATCGCGCGCAGGACTTCCTCTAATCGCTGTTCGAGTCGTGTGACAACGGCGTTGGTGTTGTTTTGACTTTCGTCAAGTGATCCAAGCCTTCCTTCCATAACCTCGCTCATACTTCGCATCTGGATGTCAAGATTATCGATTTTATCCTTCATCTCCTTGTTGGCCATGGCTTTTTTTTTCCTCTCTTCGCTCTTTGCTTTGTGGACTCGTTGTTGAAGATGATGAGGATGATGATGATCAACGATCAAAATATTTTTTTTTT